CCACCCTTTTTCTGCATCTACTGAGGTGACCATATGGTTTTCTCACTTAATTTGTTAGTGTAGTCCATTGATTGATATTTCAAATATACCAATTTTCCATTGCTAGATCAATTCTTCTCAATTATGATGTATTATTTAGGTTATATACTGATAAATTGCATTTGTTAATTTTTTTTTTGAGACAGAGTTTCATTTTGTCACCCTTAGTAGAGTGCTGTGGCATTGTAGCTCACAGTAACCTCATACTCTTGGGCTCAAGCAATTCTCTTACCTCAGCCTCCCAAGTAGCTGGGACTAAATGTGCCTGCCATAGTCCTCGGCTATTATTTATCAATTTTTAAAATTAAATCTATGTTCATAATACATATCTATAGTTTCCTTTTGTTATTTTGGTTTTATCTACTTTAGATATCAGACCCTCATAGAATGAGTTGTGATGTATTCTCTTTAACTTATTGCAAAGATTTGTATAGAGTTAGTATTATGGCATTATTTTTTCCTTACTTATTTGGCAGAATTCACCAAATAAGCTGTCTTAGCCTGAGTTTTTTGTTTATATGTGTTCTTTGTAGGAAGTTTTTTTACCTACAAATGCAATTTCTTTCATAGATACATTTGGGTTATCTAGTTCTTCAGTGATCATTAGTACAGCATGTCTTTCAAGAAAATTGTCCATTTTATCTAAGATGTCAAATTGATTAATATAGAGTTGTTCATAATAGTCCCTAAGAATCTGTTAATATTGACATGTTCTGTGGTCATGTAACCACTCACCTTCATACTGGTGATCTGTTATCTTTTTATTTCCCTTATCATCTTGGCCACAACAATAGCAATTTATTGACATCAAGGAACCAAATTTTGCTTTCACTGTTTGCCTCTATTATTCTGGTCAGCACTCAGGTCTATAATTTTCTTTCTTCTGCTTACATTTGGTTTAAGGATGGAAGCCAAGATCATGGATTTGAGATACTTCTTTGCCTATATAAGTGATCAGTGACATAAATTTGCCTCTAAATACAGCTTTTTAGAGCAGAGTCTAGGAAATTACCACTTACAGGCTGAATACAGCCATGTCCATTGGTGTATGTGCTGTCTCTGGCTGTTTTCATCCTTGCAACAGAGACCATATGGCCCACATACTTAGAAAATTAACTATATGGGCTTATAAGAACTTTGCTGGCTCCTGCGTTAGAGGAATCCCACAAAGTTTGGTATGGTCTTTTTTCAACATAATTCAGTTTATAATTGCTCTGGACTTTTTTTATAAAATGTCTTTCTTTTTTCCCTTTGCATAAATACCCAGCAGTGGGATTGCTGGATTGAATGGCAGATCTATTTTTAATACTTTGAGGATTCTCCACACCACTTTCCAAAGAGATTGTGCTAGTCTGCAGTCCCACCAACAGTGTGTGGGTGTTCCTGTCCCTCCACATCCACACCAGCATTTGTTGTTTTGGAGACTTTTTGATAAAAGTCATTCTCACTGGAGTGGACTTACTTCTTTCCCCCCTAAATTCTTGTGTTGAAGCCCTAACCCCCAGTGTGATAGTATTTGGAGATGGGGTCTTTGGGAGGTGACTGACTTTAGAAAAAGCTATGAGGGTGGAGCCTTCAGGCTTATGAGGGATTAATGCCCTAATAAGAAGAGACCCCAGAGAGCTTCCTCTCTCCCTCTTCGTCCCCGCTCCCTGCCATATGAGGACACCGTGAGAAGGCAGCCACCTGCAAGCCTGGAGATTGCCTCACCAAGGAATTAGATCAATGGGTGCACCTTGATCTCAGGCTTCCTGGCCTCCAGAACTGTAAGAAATGAATTGCTGTTGTTTAAGCCACAGTCTGTTGTATTTTGTCATGGCAGCCCAAGCTGAAGAATACAAAAATGCTTTTTAATTTCAGTTTCAGTTGCACTTCCTTCTTCAATCTTTGGATTATTTAGAAGTATGTTATTTAGTTTCCAGTTATTTCAGGGTTTTCTAAATAATCCTGGATATTAACTTAATTGAACTGTGGTCAGAGAAAATAGTCTGTATTACTTGAATCTTTTTGTGTTTGTTTGTTTGTTTGAGACAGAGTCTCAATGGAAGAAAAAGTATCCAATGTACACAGCCCTTTTATGAAACTAATTTATAGCTCTCAAATGAAAGATACAACTTAATTCTAGCCCAAGAATATGGGGAGGGGGTGGGGAAGGGGAGGGGAGAAGGGCAGCTGGATGGTGGGAGGGTGACCGGAAAGATCACCTATATATCGTCTAACAAGGGTACAAGTGAACTTTTCTAGAACTAGAATATAAATGTTTTGACACAATGACTAAGCAAATGACATGAAATCTATGTTAAACAGCTTGATGAAAGTATTTCAAATTGTATATGAAAATACTACACTGTACCCCATGTTTGCATTAATGTATACAGCTATCATTTAATTAAAAACAAAATGACATACTTAACAGGAAAAAAAAGAGAGAGCCAGAATCTCACTATGTTGCCCTTGGTAGAGTGCCATGGTGTCACAGCTCACAGCAACTTCAAACTCTTGGGCTTAAGCAATTCTCTTGCCTCAGCCTCTCAAGTAGCTGGGACCACAGGTGTCCATCACAATGCCCGGCTATTTTTTGTTGTTATTGTTGTCATTGTTGTTTTTCAGGCCCTAGCCACGTTCTAACCCACCAGCCCTGGGCATGTGACCAGTGCCCTAACCACTGAGCAATGGGCACCTAGCCTACTTGAATCTTTTTGAATTTGAGATTTGTTTAATGGCCTAGAATCATTTCCATCAGTGTTTTGTGTGCACTTAGAAAAAAATATATGTTCTCCTATTACTGGATAAAGTTTTTTATAAATGGCAATTAGGTCATGTTAGTTGATAATTTTCTGTCTACTTGTTCTATCACTATTGTAAGAACTATACTGAACTCTCCAATTATAATTAAGGATTTATCTGTTGCTCCCTGCAGTACAATTAGTTCAAGTTTCATCCCTTTTCGAAACTGTCATTAGCTGCGTAATTGTTACTATTTTCTATATGAATTTACCCCTTTGTCATTATGAAATGTTCTCTAAACCTGGTAATATTCTCTACTCTGCTGTCTACTTTGTCACATATTAACATAGTTACTCTAGCTTTCTTCTGAGCCATTCCTTTACTTTTAACCTCCTTCTCTTTATATTTTAAGTGTATGTCTTATAAGAAAAATATAGACAGTCCTTAACTTACAGTGGTACAATTTTTCAGCTGTATAATGGTGTGAAACTGTCACTTTATCACTGCAGTACAATTAGTTTAAGTTTCATCCATTTTCAAACCTCTGTCATTAGTTGCATAAATGTTACCGTGTCACTTTGTGAAACTTTGACATAAAGTACAGTATCTAATAAAACACGTGAGGTTTTTCATACTTTATTATAAAATACATTTTCAGTTAGATGATTTTGCCAAACTATAGATTAATATAAGTGTTCTGAGCACAGTTAAGGTAAGCTAAGCTAAGCTACAGTGTTCAGTAGGTTAGGTATATTAAACACATTTTTGACTTAAGACATTTTCAACTAATGATGGGTTTATCCAGATGTACCCCCACCCATAAGTCAAGGACCATCTGTAGTTGAGTGATGCTTATTTGTTCAGTCTGACAACTCTTATTTTTTAATTGGGATACTTAATCTGTTTCTATTTTATGTAATTATTCATAAAGCCAGGTTTACCTTTAGCCTGTCATTTCTGTTACCTTTTACATGTTTTTCTGAATTCTATTACATTAAATAAACATCACTTATAATCTGCTTTATACCCTTTGATGGTTACTAGCTGGTATTCTTTGTTTTTCCCATTAGTGGTCGCTTTAGGGTTTATCATATACATTTTCAACTTGTCACAGATGACTTGTGACATTATACCTATTTCCATATACTATTTATAATAAGAACCTTAGGGTACTTTAATTTATCTTCTTCCAGCCTTTGTTATTGTTGCCAAACATCATCCTATTTGTATGTTATAAACCCTTAATACAGTATTATTTTGTTTAAACAATTATCTCTTAAATTTAAATGGTAAGAAAATTTTGTGGGCTTGGTGCCTGTGGCTCAAGTGGCTAAGGCACCAGCCACATACACCTAAGGTGGCAGGTTCAAATCCATCCCAGGCCCACCAAAACAACAATGATGGCTACAACCAAAACAAAACAGCCAGGCATTGTGGCGGGCGCCTGTGGTCCCAGCTACTTGGGAGGCTGAGGCAGGAGACTCGCTTGAGCCCAGGAGTTGGAGGTTGCTGTGAGCTGTGATGTCACAGCACTCACCCAGGGGGCAGCTTGAGGCTCTGTCTCAAAAAAAAGAAAATTTTGTGGACTTACTTGTGCAGTTACCCTTTCTATGGCCCTCTGTAGTCCTTTGTAAAGAGCTGTGTTTCCATGTTGTGTCATTTTTATTCTGCCTCAAGGACTTCCCTTAATATGACTTACCCTATGGATCTATTATTGATTCTTTTAGCTTTTCTATATTGGGAAAATTCTATTTTTGCATATAAGAAAAAGATATCTTCACTGGATGTAGTATTCTGAGTTGACAGGGTTTTTTCTATTTCAATATTTTAAAAATGTTATTCCATTATCCTCATACTTGCATTGTTTCTGGAGAAAAATATTGTCATCTTTATCTTTGCTCCCTTGCATGTGTCTTTTCTTTGACAGTTGTAAGATTTTTCTGTTTATCATTGTTCTCAAACAATTTGATTATAACGTGACAGCATACTGTTCTTCATGTTTCCTATGCTCTGGATTTATTGAGCTTAAATCTGTGGGTTTATAGCACTCATAAAATTTGGAATTTAAGGCCATTTTTTCAGATGTCTTTTTCCATTTCCCCCTCCTCCAGGAGGATGACCGGCAGCAGTTACTCTGAGGAGGTAGCACAGATGGTGCTGATTTCTAGCAGAGGTGTCCATGTCAGGCAGAGTGCTAAGTGAGCCATCTGCAACCCTAGTATACTGGTACATACCATCTTCCTCAACTCCTGGTTGGAAACAATAATGACATTTGGTGGGTCCCCAATGGCAGTGGCAGCTCCTCCGATGTTTGTGAAGATCACTTCTGCAATCAGGACTTGTCGTGGATCAAGGTTGAGCACCTCACATAATCTGTCACAGTGGAGGGAAATGGAAGCAGTCTTACTGTCACATGGTGAAAGGCCCATGGGCAACCCAGTATTTCCAAAACACTTGTACGGGGAGGCACATGTATATACACATGCACATGCACACACACATACCACAGCCCATGAAAAAAGCAGTGCTGGGGAGATGAGCAATCACAATAACAGCTGAGTCTGGGAGTTACATTTCCTCTGAAAGAACCTGAACCACCAGTGTAATAATGCACCCTTTCCCAGCCCAGGTCTGGAAGAGCAGTCTGCTGTGTGCAGTCTTCACATGGGTGAGTGGGTGCTGCTGCCATACCCCCCACATCAGGGTGGGACAGCATGGAGAGCACTGGGGGCTCACACTGGGCCATGGACTTAGTCTTTATCCACCTTCCCCTTCTCAGATTCCAAGGCCCTGAGCTCTCCCCGTACCCAGCCTTTCACTAACTACTGACTTCTTCCTTAGAGGAGGATCACATGCTATACAGCTGTAGTTCTCCACAGGGCCACATACTGTACCTGTCTTGGAATCCTAGAAAGTCCTATAGCTTGGCCCACCGCACACCAATTCCCTAGTGGGCCTGGGCAGCAGTGTTCTACAGGCCCCCAGGTAGGTCCTGTGCAGAGAGTGCATCATGGCATCTTCAATCCCTGCCCACACCCACACAGAGGTTGGCTCTGTAGCACTCAGGGGCCATCCCACTATCTCAGCCCTCAGCTCACAGAATAGCCAGTGGCACAGCCTTCCTTGCACTGGCATGAGGAATAGACAGGCCCACAGACCCCAGAGGAAGCTACGGAAGACATGTGTTTGGGGACCAGGAGCAGGAGCCACTCCACAGTGAGCATCACTCCCCTGGCCACAGCAGTGCTCAGCTGAGGAGTCCCCAGGATCTGCTTCTGCCAAGAAAATAATTGGTGTCACCAGTCAACACCACAGAACAAGGCACAGAGGCAGCCTCCAATCGCATGGGCCTATGTATTTACTGTGAGGATGAAAGTTACTCGGGCCAGACATAGGCCAAAGAATGTGACCAACACTTACAAAGTCTTGAAGGACCTGGTCAGACAATAGTTAGTCTTAGTGAAAGATGTTATTGTTAGACTAATACATGGAATCAATGCCCTAGTAACATTACAAAGCCAAGCCAGCTCCCGAGCAGTAAGACTGGCAAGGGTGAAGCAACCCTCAGCCATGTGGGCTGTGCAAGGATGCTGGGGACAAGGTGCCCATTGCACCTCAGCCCTGGATTCTTACCCACTGCTATGGAAAGCATGGCTATAGCCAGGGTATGGGCATATGGGTAGCACTACCATTCTCAAACCAACCCAGGGGTCGAGTCATGCTGATCTGGGAGGGGGCTCTGCCTTTTGTCCCTGTCATGCCCAAGAGACTTAGTAGCTTTTGCAGCACCCCTCAAATGCATCCATGTTATCCTTCATTCATCCTCAGCCCTGCAGAGGAAGGTGAGAGCCCAGCACCCCCTACCCACCAAGTCCCTGTCTGCACAGGGTCATGACAGTGTGGCCAAACCTGCAGGAGCCTGTATACAAGCCTGAGTCTTCACACTGAGCCAAGAGGTAGCCTTGGGATACTGTAGCCACATCCACAGAGGCACTCGCCACTCCCTGCTCCTCTCTCCCCTGCCCACACCCTGACTCACTCCACCAGGAGTCACCCCTACAATTAATCCTGAGCCCAAAAGCAATGCCTTTCTAATGCCCTTGAATTTACTCTGTCTCCTGCCTGTGTCCAGGCAGGTCCTTATCTCACAGCCCTCAGCACGCACTCAGGTGTACTCTTCAAAGCTACAGCCCAGGTCTGTGTGGTTGAAGAGACTCGCTCAAGCCCTTGTTATGAGCAGGACCTCAGGAGCCTCTGGGGCCACCCTGCTTGCCCTCCATAGCCCCACAACCAGCCAAGCACCAGCTTATGATAGCCCAAGCAGGAAAGGACCCAGGTTTGAGGGCCTGAGGCTAAAGCTGGGGAACCATCTTCAAAGAACAAAGTATGGGAACAAACACAGGTCTGTGTCTTCAGAAAGAGCTGATAAAGGAACCCACAGTGCAGCATAAGCTTCAAAAGATTCTGGGCAAAAAGCCTACTGGTTTCAGTAAGTGTTAGATGATTTAAAAGGATGGAATTAAACTGAATAGAATTGATCCAAATTTCCATGCAAAGCCTTGCTAGGCTGAGCCCTGACTCCAGGGCCCAGTTGCTCCTATGACCTCCAAGCTTTTGAGGAGCCCAGCAGTGGCTGTTCCTTCTCTCCACTCCGCACCCTACAAGCTCTCACACTGGCATAGGTATCCCTGCCAAGTCAGCAAGGTGGCAGATGATGAGGGGAAGGGTATGCACAAGGACTCCTGGCACCTGACAATCCAGGTAAAGGGGATTACCCATGTCCCCTGCCACAAGAGCATGTCTTCAGGAAAGCAAGGCCTCTGATGTCTTCCCACTCCCCACAGCATCTCTGCCACCCAGCTACTGAGATACTACCACCGTAGAGTGCCCCATGGTCACACGAAGTCAACGTTGGCTCTCCGGAAGGCTTGAGTGTGGGCACTACCACTGACTCCTGCGTGTGAGAGTGGAGAACCATGCCCACCCTGGGCCTGACCGCATCACCCCTGGCAGACGCATTCTGCATACCTTATGGTTACAGGAGTGAAGAGGAGCATCGTGGTGACGTTGTCCAAGAAGGCAGAGAGCACGGCAGCAATGAGACACAGCATGATGATCATGGCCCACACTCTCCCCCGGGAGAGTCGGTATGCCTGGGCATTAGTGGAAGGGAACAAGCCAGCATCAGAGGGTTTACAGAACAAATGCCACTTTTTATTAGATGCTAAGGAATAGGGACCCCAACAAACCAGCATGGCACGCGGGTTTGGACTTCATACACGGGCTCCTGGGCCTGCTAAGGTGAGACAGCAGTGGCCATGCCAGACACTGTGGTTCCTGGACACTCAAGTCTACCATGGGCCACAGCAATGCTGCTCCTTCACAGTGACCCTGCAATGTGTCTTGAGGTGGTATCCCCTATTCCCTTTGACATCATCTAGTGTTGTGGCTAGACAGGCTGGGTATGGCATTTGCAACCCATGTGACCGTAGTATCTGCTGATCTCTAAAGACCTACAAGATACTTTTATTACAAAAGTATGGGGAGGAAGGGCCAGATATCTATCTGGATTATGCAAGATGGCACACAAAGATCACTGCACAGGTCTGTGGTCAGAGCATGCATGGGGCTTTGTTGGATGATTTTTAAAAGAACTTTTCTGATCCAAAACAATATCAAGTATAGCATTGGCCTTTCATTGGCAGGGCATGGCAAGACCTCCTCCCACAAGCCTGAGTGACAAGACCAGGAAAACTGTGAGGGGAGAGCCTGCTAGACCTCCCAAAGGGTACAGCCACAAAGGGAAATGGATGGAATTTTCAAATATAGTAGGAGCCTCTGTAAGCTGACCACTCGAGGGACTGTAACAAACAACATACAGAGGTGGGCAACATAAGGAACGACGCTGACTGTACTGACACATACATGTGGTGCATGTCCAGTCTGAAAACTTAAGCAGTTGGTTGGTGTAGGAGCATGGTGAGGAGGTTCTACTGTATTTGCTTTAAATGATAGTTTAATTTTCTAAACAATGTCAATAAAATAAATATATTAATTGGTACATAACTATGAAAGGTAGTATCACACCTACCTTTACAGCACAATAATCAAAAAATCCAGTTTCTGAAAATATGGCTACTAAGATCATCTAGGGAGAAAAGAGAGAAGGAGAGAGCAGAGTCATTAGCAGAGCGCTGTCCTGATGACACGAGCATGTCAGTGCAAACTCAAACTCAGGCTGGAGAGCTATATCACCAACAGGTTTATGACTCAGGTCCAACACCACTCACTTGGGCGCTTAAAGTCTTCTATAAGCTGTTAATGACATTCCTCGTAGCCCAGGGTGACCTCTTGACAATATGATAAATTAGCAAACACCCCAACTGTTACTGAGGGACAGTATCTTCCTTTATCCAAGCAATATTGAAAGTCATGTATGATTAGTTAATTTGGGATATTCCACTTATTTTAACAACAATAATTCAAAACAATTGCTATCCTTCCTAAATGACAGTGTTATTTCATTGTCAGACAGGCCTCAGACTGAATTTTCCAGCTAACAAACCAGAATGCCAATCTCCACATTTGTCCTCAGAAAAAAGGAGCTAGACCTGCTCTCACATCTCAGTCAAGCCCTAACTAGCAGGTGGCACGGTGTCTTTGATACAAGGAAGCATCAATAGCAGCACAGCAAAAGAGAAGGACCCAGGTTGCAGAGGGCCTGGAGCCACGATCCACCAGGTGGGCTATAATTACCATGCCAAACAGCAGGGCCAGGGTCTCAAAATCAATCCACTCCACCACGTGGGTCAGGCTGGGTCTCTGCAATCAAAGCACAAATTTGCCATTTAATCTTGTGCATCATCTCCTAGTGATAAGCTCAAAAAATAGGCTGCTCTTACTGCAAACCCACTTGCTGGGCCAGAGCTGGAAGTCACACCATCCACTCCTGCCTTTAAAATTGGATTCTATTGTTGCTGAGAAGCACTTAGGACCTAAGCCATCTGTAACGTCAAATCTACACATTTAGCAATAAAAATAAAAATGTTTTAACCTGTCCCCAGCCACTTATGAACTGCAGCTGGGATAGCAAGACAAGTAACCTCCCCTGAGGTTACTTTCTCAGTGGAGTCTATCTGGGCCTTCCTCAGCACAGTGGCCTGAGACCAGGTGACAGTGACCTGGATGACCACCTGTGCTATTCTCCATGTGTCCCCCACTCTTAAAGGGAACATGGCGTAACAGTCCTGCAGGAAATGGCTACTGAGAAGGACTACATGATAGGTGGCCCAGGGCCTTCCCAGAGCACATACATGTGCCACATTAGTGGTATTCAGAATGAAACAGACTGTTACTACACTGCTCCTTAACTTGTAATAGTGACAGCAGCTTTATTTCTTAGCTTTAGGGTTCTAGGACATTTTATCTTTACGATCACCATTTGTTTATGCCAACTCTAGCCAAGATAAAGTTTAAATTCTTATTATTGCTTTCAGGCTTGGCCTACATTCAAAATTTAAATTAAAAAAAATAGCTAAATCAGCATACATACCACACAGTTTTTAGTTATTATTCATTGCTTGATTAAATGGTCTCTAGTAGCAGTTTTCAGAATAATTCCATTGAATTCCACAGAGGTGTTTTCAAATCTAATTTTATGTGTGGTCACCTCTGACTGGGCCCTTTGTTCCAGAATTGCCTCTCAAACAACTGTGGGCTCCACCTGCAGAGATCACTTAGCCTTTTGCTTCCCTACATTTATTCTCCACATCCCTATCAGATTGACCATGCTTAGTTCTGCCAGGGCACTGTCACCCCCATACACACATCACCCCCATACACACATCGCTAGGGACTGCCTGGTGTCTGCAAGACAGAACCCTAACTCCCATCCCCCACTGCTGCTCCAGCTAGGACAGGCCACTCTTGCTCCCCAGGGAAGACAACACCCAGATCCAGCCCAGCACCATTAGCTGGGCAGATATGTAACCATGTTACATCCTTCCCTGGCCAAAAGGGAGAATGACACCGCTGGGACATATGTGTGATTAAATGAAATGAAAGATGCCCCTCATTGCTGCATGTGTCAGTTCATGCCTCTAGCATGAGGGCTGTAATTACCATGCCAAATAGCAGGGCCAGGGTCTCAGCAGAACCTAGCATGACTCCTGAGCAAAAAACACAGAAGTGGCATCTAAAATTTTGAAAAACACCAGCTAAAAATCTGGAAAACTCTTTGAGTCTGACACCAATCAAATGGCAAGCCAAGGACCAGGAACCTTACAACTCACATCGCCAATGACAGCCAGTGCCGCCAGTGCTGCAAGGGAGCCGAGCATGGCTGCCAGGGTTCTGTGAACGATCTGGAAGGAAACACAGGAAATTACTACACCAGTCCCCCGAGGGATTTAACACACTCAGAAGTCTGTGCTGTTCTGGGTATCTGTCTACATCTGCCATTGTATACCATGTCTATGAAAATGATAAGTCAGTCATGGGTCTTGATATTTCAGGGTCCAGGCACCCCACAGACATATACAACCCCCGACCAATCAGCCTTCTAGAGAAGATGCCTTCATTTCCTGAGTAATTAGATGATACCAATTAGACAGTAGAAGGCTGGATAAGCTATGTTGTACAAGGAAGCCTGCAGCAAGCTGTCATTAATATTTGCCATATGCTCCCTAGGCAACTGGACCATTAGTTCAACAACATACATCAATTCTTCCCAATTACTGAAACTATTATCAAGCCAAAAGTACACGGTTAAATGCTTAATGTAATTGAGACTTCAATGTTACCATAAATGCATCTTTTCTATTTAATTATAGTTAAATAGAAGTGAAATTCCTAAAACAAAATATGAGAAAAGTCAAAGATGTAAAGAAACTGGAATCCTCGTACATTGCTGGTAGGAATTTAAAATGCTGTTGCCACTGTGGAAAAAAATTTGGCAGTTTCTTAAGAAATTAAACATAAATTTGCCATATGACCCAGCAATTCTACTAGGAATCTACCCAACAGAAATGAAAATATTTGTCCACACAGACATGAATGTTCATAGACATATCATTCAAAGTAGGTTAAAACTGAAAACATTCTAAACACCCATCCATGGTTAACAGATGAAATATGTGCTACTACATGGAACTGTTAGGTGCAGCGTAATGGACAAACGCTAAAAGAAAAAAAGTTACACAGAAGACTGTATATTGCATCATTCTATTTACATGAATTTTCAAAAAAAAGTAAATTTAGAGAAACAGAAGATCAGGGTTGCCTGAAGCTAGGGCAGCGACAAGGATTGACTAAAAATAGATCCTGGGGCTCTTTCTGGGGTGATGGAATGTCCTAAAACTGGATTGTAGTGATGGCTGAAAAACTCTTTAAATCTGGTAAGAATAATTTAATCACACTTCCAAAGGGTGAAATCATGGTATTTGAATTGTACTTCAACAAAGCTGTTAAAGAATTAAAAAAAAGAATGGTAGAACTGAATTGAAAATTAAACACTAGCAGACAGATTCATTTCTGGATACCCTAAAGTGGTTATTATATTTTCGTTCAATCGTTATGTTTTATGACTTCCACCTCACAAACCTAACTGCCTTTAACAGCAATTATCTGAAAATCAATTCTAATTAAAATCATTTTATTCATAATTTATACTACTGGATTCAAAGTTAGTTCTCAGGTAATTTCATGCCAGGTGTTTTCTTTTTCACACTTTACATTTTTAGGAGTTGGTGTATTTGTTTTTAGCCAGGCACAATGGCTCATGCCTGTAATCCTAGCACTTTGGGAAGCCAAGATGGAAGGATCACTTGAGGCCAGGAGTTCAAGACCAGCCTGGGCAACACAACAATATCCTATCTCTATAAAAAGTTAAAAGATTAGTTGGGCTTGGTGGTATGAGCCCAGGAGTTTGATGTTGCAGTGAACTATGATGACACCACTGCACTCCCCAAAAAACTGTCTCTAGAGACAAAGGTCATTACATAATTGATGAAAAGGTCAATTCAGCCAGAAGATATAACATTTATACATATGCAGACACCCAAATCAGAGCTCTTAAATACTGTGTATAAAAGAATATTGATTTTTAAAAAAGAATATTAATAGATCTAACAAGAGAAACTCACAGCAATGCAGTAATAATAGATGACTTTAATACCCCATTTACAATAAGGAAGAAGTAGACTTGAACAATGCTATAGATCAAGTGGATCTAATAGATGCAGGCAGCCCTTCACCTGCAGGAGAATTCATGTTCTTCTCACATCTACACAGAACATCTTCTAGGATAATCACAGGTCAGGTCACAAAACAAGTCTTAATAAATCTTAGAAGAAAGAAATTATATCAACTATCTTTTTCAAACACAATGATATAAATAAAACTAGACTCAAAAATAGGACCAAAACAGAAAAATTGGCAAATATGTGAAAATTGAATAACACATTATTGAACAACTAATGATGGGTCAAAAAAGAAATCAGAAGGAAAATTAAAGGGAAAATCAAAAGGTATCCTGAAATAGACAGAAATGGATATACAACATACCAAAAGTTATGGGACGCAGCAAAAGCAGTTTTAAGAGGTAAGTTTACAAGCAATTAGTTTGATTTGATCATTCCACTATATATATGATTGAAATAGCACATTGTACCCCATAAACATATACGATTATAATTTGTTGATTAAAATTTAAACTTAAAAAAGAAAGCTCTCAAATAAGCACTCTAACATTACACCTTAAGGATTTAGAAAATGAAGAACTGAGCCCAAAGTAAGCACGAGGAAGGAAATAATAAGATTAGGGCAGAGATAAATGAAACAGAGACTAGAAAGACAATCGAAAAGATTTAAAAAACTAAGAGTTGGCCTTTTAAAAAGATAAACAAAATTAGTCTTTATCAGACTAACCAAGCAGAAAAGAATAAAGACTCAAAAAAAATTAAAATTATAAATGCAAAAGGAGATATTACAACTGATACCATAGACATACAAAGGATTTAAGAGGTCTCTACTAATAATTCTATGCCCATAAATTGATAACCTGGGGCTCGGCGCCTATAGCTCAACCGGCTAAGGCGCCAGCCACGTAC